AATACACATGTATATTTAAGAAAAATATGTTACGTTTATATATGACAATTTATATGAACATAAATATATACACACACACGTAAATATTTTCAAAATATATGCTGTATGTGTGTGTCTTTATATATATATAAACAAATACACACCGAACACACACACAAACAAACTTTTATTTTGGGTGATTAATCGCAATTAATCATTTGACAGCACTAATAATAACACACACAAAAAAATTTATATATGTGTATATATATAATAAAAATAATAATAAATTCCTGACACAACTCTACAGGACTGCGTTCATCCCTGACAAAACTGTGCAAAACTTTTTTTTAAAACGGAAACGGTGGTGCGTTGAACACTCCGTTCTGATGACGCAAGAGTTGCAACTACGGCAGCTGAGAAGGCCATCTTTGTGTTCTCTTTGAAGAATTTTCAGAGCCTGATGAAATCTGTATAAATACGTGTTCAATACTGCAAAATACACTCGATATTACAGTCACTGCCATTGCGGTCCAGAATAAAAGAACATCCCAATCGTGTGAAGGGATTTGTGGAAACTGTGGTTCTTAATTGTGATCCAACATTTGCCTCACATTTCAGGATGAAAAGACAAACACTTCAGGTGAAAGATACACTTCTTACCTCAAAGACTGTGTTATGATCTATATGACTGTGACAAACTCTTGTCTTCCCTGTGTGGAAATCAGGGAGGCGGGGTCTGAGAGCAGCTGTGCAACAGAGTTTGCCCTTTTATTGACACTTCTTTAAAACAAACAAAAAAGGGAAGCACGAGGGCTTTTCAGCATTCACTCAAACAAAAAAACAGTCTCCAACCAACAGTCGTTTCTTTCAGGCAAGGCACGAGACAGCATGGCACGCTCCCCAGGCAGCCTCTTTCACTCGCTCCAAGCCCTGCTTTTTATCCTGTCTCTTGACTCACTGCAAAATGAGAACACCTGTTAGATTTAATTAACGAGAGGCGTTTCCCTTAACCATCAACTCTCCAGCACTCGTTCTCCATCTGCAGAGGCCTTTAAACCACGCCCCGCTTTCCACAATGACCTTATTATTTTTATTGTGAGTATTAGGCTAATCATTATTGCTGATCACTGTTGTTGTGCTATGATATTGTAATATTTACCATTATATAATCAGAGGGGTATAGAAAAGTTTATGAAAGTGTCACTCCACAATACAATAGCAAAATATATAAATATGTATAGTATTTGTATGGAAATACGCATGGACCAATCACTGAATAGATTTCCTTATTTAAGAATATTCTCAGATAAATTCACATTGAATGGTTAAATTCCTAATATGAGTTTACATTCAACACACATTTGACAACAAAGAATTTTCAAGAGAATACACTATGGTAAGGAAACGAATCGTCATCACAACCTTCAATTTACTTAGGTTTGTGCCAGTAGACGATAGTATCATGTATCGACAATAGTAGGAGATATCGCCTGTTGCTGATTTCTTTGACGACAGCAAGACGATTATTATTATTATCCGTCAAAAATATAGGCGCCTATCTTTAGTGATACAGCGCGAGAGTCGCTTCAGAAACTTGTCGCGGCGTGGATGGTGAGTAAGTGATCAGCTCCGGTGGCTGTGTCGGAGCCGTAACGCGCCGCAGACGTATGCAATGTAAATGAGGGGTAAGAGATTTATTCATGATACAATGTAGGTAGCTTCACTGATTATAACGGGAGTGTTTTTAAAGAGCATATAATACTCGCGCTAGACTGAAGTCAGTTATGATGTTCTTTGGTAAATATTCTTTGCCCGTTTCTGTTTGAATAACTGAGGAAATGTAACTGTTTGATTAACTACTCGTCGTCAAACATTTAAAGAACATTCTTCCTCTCCTGAAAGATTTGTAAACGAGAAACAAGAAAACGTATCTCAAACCCCGTTGCACACCGTTTCCAGGAAACATGTCGTTCAAACCGGAAACCGTAGCAAAACGTTGCGCACCGGTTTGAGCTTGAACTTGCCCCAGTTGTAACGTGTATGTTCCCGTTTTTTCCTGTTTGTCCTTTTTTGATCATGTTTCCTGTTCCTGTCCTCATTGTGTTAATCTGTATCCAGCTGTGTTTGATTAAATATCTCGTTTTCCCCTTGCATTTAAACCCCGTGTTTCCCTGAGTCTGAGTCCGCTGTTATATGTCATTCTTGAGTTCCAGTATTTACCCCTTGCTTGTTTGATTAAAAATCTATGTTGAAGTATTCTCCTGCGTCTCCTCATCCCTCCCAGAGAGATCGTGACAGAACAGCAGACCAACAAAAAGTGAGCGGCGCCTCTCCTCCCCGTGTTTCTTTTGCGTTTTTGAAAGTTTTTTTTGTTTTCCCAGTTTCTCCCCGCGATCATAGAAATCGCCACTTGTTTCCCCTTCGTGGAGTACGCTTGGGAATTCGGCGGGTTCGCCGCGGCGACGGCTTTGGACGACGCCACGCTCAACTCGCTGTTCTGGATCGGGGCTAATTACCATTGCCCCGTGGACCTCCGAGACACCACTGGACTAAGCTGGAGGGAAAGGATCCTCCGGTGTCTGGAGAGCGTCCGGCCCCGATCCAGAACCAGCTCGCCGTCAAGCCCGCCGGCCGCCGCTGACTCGGCGCTATTGGACATGGCACTACCAGCCCTCCTTCGTCTCCTGAGTCCCCCGAGTTAGCCAGCCCTGCTCCTCCAGAGCGCCTTCCAGTGCCCGCTCCTCCAGAGAGCCCTCCAGTGCCCGCTCCTCTAGAGTGCCCTCAAGTGCCCGCTCCTCCAGAGCACCCCCCAGAATTCCTCATTTTCCCCAAGAAAATTTGGGGGGGCATATGCCCGTGGCCGTGGTTAAGGTCACAGAGGATCCACCATGGCCTCCTGAGTCTCCTGATCCGCCATGGCAACCTGAACTGCCTGCTCCGCCATGGCATCCTGAGTCCCCTGATCCGCCATGGCAACCTGAACTGCCTGCTCCGCCATGGCCTCCTGAGTCACCTGCTCCGCCATGGCAACCTGAACTGCCTGCTCCGCCATGGCTCCCGGAGCTCCCTGATCCGCCCTGGAGGCCTTCCCGTGTCCCTGTCTTGCACCAGCCTCCAGGGCGCCCACCCCCACTCCCCGGTGGTATTGTTACGGCGCGGGACGCGCCTTCCGGGAGGAGGGAGTAATGTCACGTGTATGTTCCCGTTTAGTTTCATGTCATGTTTCCTGTTCCTGTCTCCTCGTTCCTCCCAGAAAGATCGTGACAACAGTGAATATGGGCAACAGGATAAACATAATAGTGAAATTCTAAACTAAATAACATCATAATCAATAATAAAAAATAAAATAAATGATGACTCAATTTTCTCACAAAACTACAAACCCCGAGCTTTCAAGTTTGAATTCTTTGTGTTGAGCTAAGATATCAAACTGTTACCATATGATTTTCCGATCAGAGTTCACAAAATATCAACTTTCCACTGTCCCATTTTCTCATGCATGTGCATGGAGCAAAGTCTAATGTCACCACACCTATACTTTTTGTCTTCATTTTGAACAGTCTATTGTCTTACCATTTAAAACCTAACAAACTTAAACAAGATGCAACTTCTATAACAACAAGATGCAAGTCACTGTAAATATGTTGGTATTTTTTATAGAGAAAGACTGTAAAAATGCTACAATAAAAACCTTAACTTGATTAATTGTAAGTTGATTTTTCTTTAAATAATTTTGTTTCAATCAGTAATGTACACTGGGAAGTTTTTTGTTATATCAGTTATTTAGTTTATTGATTTAGTTTATTTTAGTTATTTCAGTTTTGTTTATTGCATTAAATTAATGTCATGTGAGTTACCATGGTGGTGTTTTGTCTTTAGTGTATGACCCTGTGCATCGTCTATACATATGTTTCTGGCAACCACAGCTGCTGTTTTTACTGCAAAATTTAACAGGATATTTTTTACAGCAATGCAAAGATAGAATATATATGCCATCATACATTTGAAAAAAAAAGTGTTGCCTTTACTGTATATCCATATACAGAAGTGATGTATGAGGTTTAAAACAACTGAAATTTACTTGTGAGAAAAGTCTACAGTGCTGTTGCGTGTCAAGAGCATAGTGATATTGTAATTGGTTGACCAATGTTAGTTCCTGTGTCTAACAGTTTCTCTTTTTTTGCTCAGTGAGTCAACAGCACAGTGTGTACCTCTGGGTCAGGCCAGTCACATTAGAAGCTAGTCCAGAGCTTATCAGCTCTTCCTGGTGAGAGGTCTGTCCTGATTCAAACACTCGTTACCAAGGGTGCGTCACACACGTCACCCAGAGTCTCTCATTTATGGCTTGGTATCGCTAGACATGTTCACACTGGTCCAGAGGATTGTGTTTCTGTGAAAACAAAGACATGTAGCTTTGAGATATCCGGAAAAAATATAGCTAGGTTACACATCAGGAACATATTGCAGACACATAAATTACTTTTTTTTTTCCAGAAAGAGATTTGCATCCAATTGCGTGAAATTTGAATGACGACCAGTTGACAAACGGGCTTTAAAACTAAAGTTATTTTATGGTTATAAAATAACATTTCATTTGCTGTATCCTGTATTTCACTGTGGCCTACACATCTATCACAAATTATATATATACTGTTAGAAAAAAAAGTATTTTCTTTTCATCTATTTATTCTTTTGTATATGAGTACTATATAGTGAGCGTAGCGACTTCCTGCTAGTTTGGTATGATAAATGCTCTCAGTTCCTGTGTGATCACAGACAGTTCTCATGTTCAGTGCAGTTGACTACAAACAGCTCTGATGGAGAAATCAAGTATGCTAAGTTGTACTGAAGACCCAGAATCAGAGGTAAAAGATATTTTATAGATATCTTTAACTTGCAATGT